TCGTTCTTTCGCAGTGCTACCTAAACGCATTCCACTAGACGACGGAGCCTTTTGTCAGCCGTCAGTCATCTCATATGACGTCACACTAAAGGGAGGAGTCAAAGCGGGTTCTTTCACTCCATTGGGCCAAGTTGATAGCATTCAAACATGCATCAGTCTTTGTTGTCAGCGGYCTTCATGTGACGTAGCATTTATGTTAAAGACCACGTGTTATTCGATCAAGTGTTCCAGTGAGGAGGTCTGCGAACAGGTTCCTGCTCGTGCCTCTGAGTACAGCCCGCGTTTATCGTATGTTCGCCGGTATACCGGAAATGACGTCACTAAAGGTAGATTTGGAGGAAATATCTTTTCTTCAATACATTTCCTATTTTCTCATTCATATCCATTTCTATTTATAATTCTCTCTCACCAGTTCAATCATGCACTTGTTGGTTTGCTTATTCAATCAGCGATTCATCCATATATTCATTCCGCATATATGCATCTCTGGTTTCATTGTGTCTATTCGTCATTTAACCTTATCTATACATCAATGTGTCCATGACCTTAACATGCACTTGTTGTTGTTTCTTAGATAAACAGAAAATATCCACAAACTCAACAAAGCCAGCCAACAACAGCAAGAATTCAACCATTACAGATATCAGTGAAGATCATTATTGTACTGACAGTGAGGTTATGCACAATGTTACTCTCAGAGGTGGYATTACATCGGGATTATTTCGAGATAGAGGCATCATACCAAGYGTTAAAGAGTGCGCTGATGTAAGTGACTAACTATTGCTAATTTGTATTACAGCGCAACAATAATGTTGCACGTGCTATGTTGTGCACAATGGTTRACTGGTTTGACTGATTAGTTGATTGGCAATTTTATTCGGATTATTTGCCTGACTGATTGATTGATCGACGGACCGATTGATGGATCGCCTGATCGGTTGATTGGTCGACGGACCGATTGATTGATCGACTGACCGGTTGATTGATTGATTGGATGATTGATTGATTTGTTGCTTCCTTGAATGATTGATTGGTTGGATGGGTGCTTTGGGTGGTTACTTCTGATGAATTGGATGGGCGCTTCGTTTAACTGACTGATCATGTCTCTCTTTTAGATTTGCTGTATCGCCAAGGAATGCGACCTCGCGTTYATGCTCAAAGACCATTGCTTCTCAGTGTCTTGTTCGAGCGAATCCCTGTGTGAAGCAGTCAAGGCAAAGTCATCGGTGTTTGAACCAACAATCGTCTACATTTATGCACGAACAATACGCAATAATAGATCAATACAGAAACGAAACAATCAAGGATCAACAAGAACGATAAATATAAACACCAAACAAAATARTTTTATCARAAGGAGGGCTTTGGAATGGAGACGGAGGGGGYTGTAAGCAACATTATTTGATAATTCATTCATAGGTCGTGTAGCAGAAATTGCTCTTTTTATTTAGAAGATAGATATTATATAGCGTCACAGGTAACATGAATCGATKCTAAAAGGAATGGAAAAGAAGCCAAGACGTTATAAGGGAGCGCGGTTGCTCGGTAGAACAGCTAGTTCTTTGGGAACAATGTACGAGAAATGTACGAAGATTGTACGAAMATTGTACGAAAACTGTACGAAGATTGCACGAAGAGTGATTCCATGAAGTCAAAGAGTTCGCATTCATGAAAACAAATTTAATGAGACAAGTTTTTTGTCTTTTTGTGTAGATACGTTTCTCATCATATTCTTTCAGGATTTTTTGTTTACAAGCTAAAATTATTGATGTAAATTTGTACAGATTTGTATACAAACATATTTATAACAAAACAATAAAAATCTTAATTGGTCTCTGCGAACGCTTTTATTTATATGAAACAGTTAGCAATCAGATGRTCAGGGTCTCACCATACCACTAGTTGAAAATGTATTTCTGTCGAATACCGTATCTAGACGTGTAAATAGAAGACACTGGCATTTTAAACAGTGTGTTTTGGATGTAAAAGTAAAAGTTCAAAAAGTGTACGATGTTATCAAAGCTGCTAAAGTCTAATCACACCGATCCCAAAGTTTCTTTCTATCTATTCAATCTTTCCAACGGACGTAGAATACCCAGAATTGTGCCAGTCATTCTCATATCAGAATCGTGGTCAAAAACACGCCCAAAGCGTCGAACGATGGCCTCACCTTAGAGTACATACGACACACCCGAGCACCCAATGTGTCATCATCCAAACAAACAACCCCACCCTCCCCTCCCTCAATATCATTTCTCCACGCATAACACTTATAGCAGGTTTCTGTCTCCACCTTACATTGCTATGGTAACCAGCACCCGTCAGGGGTGGGGTGCGTTTGCTTTGAAAACAATGGTATTGTTGCATACTTGATTAGACAAGACGAGCACGTGGGTCGCGTCGAGTATTAGACCGCTCCTACTAGGGTATTAACATGTAATTAARACTAATTATAACCATGTAGGAAGTGTACTATGTCCCACAAAGGACAGGGATTATTTTCACAATGAATAAAGTAGGAACAAGACGAAYGGACGTGGCGCTCCTGATAYTCCTGGTGTTTGCCAAGATCTACAGTGACCAAGCAGGTAAGAGAAAAAACTATTGTTCTTAAAAAGCCCWACGAAATATAAAAGGATAGAAATACTTCGTTAATCGAATTAATATTCTTTAAAAATATTCAGTACATTCTTGATAAAAAGCGTATGAAGTTTATTTTTATCTTTATTTGTCCAATAATGTGATAACAGCGACTTGGTATTGTTATTTACAATAAGTACTTTGTGTTGATCCACGGGTATTTTATAACATATTTTACACTAAAGGAAAAAGACTACTTGGTTTAGAAACGATTTTTGCCCGAGTTTCCATATTCTGACTGCTATGAATTTTCATAAGTGTTTGTCGAGAGATGAAGGCAGCACTTTAGAACCTGTTGTAACKTAAAAGCCGTATGTAAGGTACAGCAGTTTTAAAAGTGTCAACAATGTAACATCTTTCATAAAGAAACCTTTATTTTTAAAATCATCAAATTCAATATAACCTACATTAATCTACTGTTGCTATTTACTATAAGAAGAATCTATGCTTGTTTATGTGATGCAACAAAGAACTTTTTAAAATATTTGAGTTGATGTCTGTGAAAGMAAATTTCAGTAAAATCGTTTAAAGTCTGGTAGCTAAGCGTCCCTTCCAAATAAAGCGAATTTCATGATTCTATTCCCTCGCTTRTTCCTTAGTTTTCGTTAAGCTAACGAGGCAATCATGTGACGCCGCCCTAAAGTAACACCTTGAATAACACGAGCACAAAACGGTCTTGTTAGGAGAGTTTATTGATTCAATCACAAGGCATGGCTGACAGATTCTACAAATACGTCACAAACTACAAAATACTTGATCAAGCGTTCTATACTAGGAACAAACAGAACAAAATATTGCGGAAATATACGGGGGCCTACACTCTTGTTTAGCCGACAAACCATTGCAAACCAACAAAAAATATATATCACGAGTATATTATTCACTTTTATTCCCAGATGATAACTTGATCACCGAGATCAGCAGTGTGCGGCCACTAGTCTGCGATCATGGACCAATCACATCTAACGTCGCCTTAAAACATGAATTACGCGCGGGAAAGTTTTGGAGACTGGGGATAGCCGGTGATATGAGTACGTGCATACGACTTTGTTGCGAGATTGACGACTGTGAGATGGCATATTTACCAGGAACTCATTGTTATGGTGTTGACTGCTTCAGTGAGAAGCACTGCGAAGTGACGGGTATCAAACCTAAAGTGAATATGACAGTRAAAATCGCTACTGTAAGACCTATTGTAGAGAACTCTGGTGCTGTGAAAATGTGTAAGTTATACGATGCGTCTTGGTGTTGATTATGAATTCAATCGAAGAGTTTTCAATGATGATTAAAAGAACAGCATTCTTTAGTCCATTGATGTATGCAATCTTATTCCCATTTATGTACTCACCCATTTATTTACTTATTCATTTAATGACCCATTCTTTCACAAACCTTTCATCCCTACCTCTCTCCATTCATCCCTTCTTTCACTCCATTTATCCCTCCCACTTTCCAATCATCTCTTCTTTCTCTCCATTCATCCCTACATTCAAGTGTTCATCTATTCAATGATATCCTGATTAATCATCATGATCATTATTTATTCCATTAATTTTTCTTCAATGTACGCCAATACCAGTAACCATGACGATATRTTTTATATTCTCAGTCGATGTCGAGGACCCGTCAACYAAAGAAGAACTACACTGCACACAGAGCCCTGTTCTTACAAATGTTACCCTYAGGGGAGGGGTAAAGGCAGGCAAATTCAGTGACCTGGGGGATGTAGAGGGGATGCATATGTGCATTGCCTTGTGCTGCGAGAGTAGGTCATGTGAYCTTGCATTCATGATCGGATCGACGTGTATTGCTGTTGACTGCTACAGCGAGGAGATGTGCCAGGCTGTCAGGGCRAGACCGACGTCTTACAATCCAAGGATCTCGTATATTAGAAAGAGAGAATTCCAAAGAATGGGAAGAAAAGGTAAAGAGATATTATTAGATATTATTTATTATTATTGCTAGAATGTAAACACTAAAGCCTTGAAAAACCTTAGTTATTAAATAGTGCTAAATTGTTATGCGAACTTCATTGTTCTCTATTGACTAATTATCTTCAATTATACTGCAGTATTTACATGTATTTAGCTTAGTTCCAGCTTTTTCACGCTTTTATTGCTTGCACTCTACTACAACTCTATGATGTTTTTTTAACCCTATTTTAAACATTACTTTACTAAACAGCTGACACTCTACCAACCAAGCCACGTAGTTCGAGCGTAGCGTCGCCCAGACAGGAGATAATAAGTGCACGTCTACCACACAGGACCATTCTGAAGACAAGTCGGTGTTCGGCTGTCAAGATACATCATAATTTAACGCTACTTGGCGGAATAAAATCAGGAAATCTCACAGCACTTGGAAAGGTACTTATGTCACTGGAACCTCTCCGATAGGGACACAAAGGTCGRATTAGAGAGGGCGAATCAGATCAGACTTGTCCTGCGTAACCAATCACGAATGACAATCATATGCAGTTAGTCAACTTTCGCCTTGCGGAGACCTCGATATTACGAACACCTCGTTATTACGGACACCCAAATGAATAGTTGCTTCACAATTCTCTTAACTGTGGACACTCACTATTGCGGACACATGGTTTCGGCTTGGAAGGTGTTCGTTATATCGAGAGTTTACTATAAGGTGTGATAAAAAGCAATAAGATTGAAACATCTTTGTTATTTTTATTTTATCACAGACCAAAAACATGCAAGAATGCATAGGAAAGTCATGTGATCTGGAGAGAGGTGACCTGGCCTTCATGCTCGGTAATGACTGTTATTCAATCACGTGTTACAGCGACCGAGTCTGTCAAACAATTCCTGCAAAGCCTTCTCGTTTTACACCTCGTCTTGCCTTCCTGAAATGGTCTCCCAAAGAAAACGAAACAGGTCAGTCAATCTGCTAGTCCTTTATTATAGCCATGGTTCCTCATATAATGTCATATATGTACGGCCTGGTCCCATATAGTCATTGGTCTCGCATGCCTACTGGTCCTTCATAGGCTATGGGTACACATTTAATCCTTCATATATTCCCTGGTCCATGAATTTGGAAGACGAATTGTTATTGATTTATTTTTGTCGATTTTGGGGTTTACAGAAGCTTTACTAGAGGAGCACACAACGAGAAAGAAGATCCCTCACTGTACAAGAAGCCATATTCTGTACAATCACACTGTTCTAGGTGGACTGCGAGCAGGGAATTTTACCAAAATTGCAGAGGTTGACAGCATTGAGACATGCGCAGCTCTGTGTTGTGCCGAGAAGACTTGCGACCTGGCCTTAATGCTAGGCGAGAATTGCTATGCGGGGGACTGTGCMAGCAAGGAGTTGTGTAAGCCAATCGCAGCACAGCAATCATCGCAGATTGCTTACATTACGTCACGAAAAACCCATGACAACATATTAGGTAAAAACAACAACGAAATAACCAATGAAATCGATCAATCAATGAGCCAATCATCCACCACATTTTCTGAGCTGTCAATCACATCTCCTGTAAGAAGGCAGACCTCACTCAAATAAAAACTGGATTTCTTTGTTTAAATTGCTGATGTTTCTTGTGATTCCAGATTGGAGTATGTGGTACTTGGTGGTGGGGACCATTGCTATCATACTTGGTGTTATAGGAATTACCTGGACAGCGTGTACCTGTTATTCCAGGTAAGTCATGGTACCCATTTTATGCTCTATTTCATTCTTCTTATCACCCATAGCCTGAGTACACTCTTTCTGAGTTAGGGTGGAGTGACGAAAAGCGCGGGGTTCCTATCGAGGGACGCCTGAACGAAAACTAAGGTTATAGAATGATAACAAAAGGGACGGAGCTCGGTTTCCACTGATTTTGATTGTGGCTTAGATTGGAATTTTTGTCGTACTTTTTCACACAAAAGCAGTCAATCATGTACAGTTCACTAAATTAACCAAAATAATTTCACAATTTCCAGGAACAGAAAAGTGAAGTCCAGTCAAGAGGCAGACAGGTTTGGTATGATGGACGAGTATGGAGACTCTATCCACACAATGCACATGCTACCACAAGGTAACCTAGCAACAATCACTATGGCGATATTGCGTCATGTTTGCGTAACTTAGCAACCATAACAATTGACATGTAAAGTATAAGMAACAGCGGAAGCACTGGGTTGCCTTGCTCTTTACAACTGAAAACACCATCTTTGTCTTTGTAAAATATTCTTATCATTTTGTCGCTGTTTAACTGTATATCTTTTTGATTTACAGAAAAATACATGACTAGTGGGCCGTTATTTCTCAGTGAAACAGAGAGCGATACAGATGATGAGCCAGAGCCGCAGCCCATTCAAAAAAAGAGCCTTCCAAGGCARTCCCTATCAAATATGGTCCCTTTCTACACCAGTCCACCACCRACTTATAATAATCAACCAAACATTGACCCATCACGGGTTAGACGATCAATGCAGAATCTATAGAATACGTATATAAGACAACTCAGGACCCCCTCATGGCCCATAACTCTTTGCGYTCGACTGTTGCGCAATGAGCTTTCTAAGAACTCACGAAAAAAATTTGACTACAAAGGTCGTCAAAACTATTATAAGTTAAAAATACTCTTGACTTGTCGATCTTAAAGTCTCCTTGCACTGATATCAGTAAAAAATGCTTTAATCAAACAGAAGAAAGTGGTTATCACTATGTTAAACAACCCTTTGTTTTTTTTTAAGTTAAAGTGGGTGGATTTGCCACCACAGTAACGCTACTAAAACATTATAACAGAAAAAAATATTTAAATAGCTCATAAAAAATGTTTTTAAGTTTAAGCAAAGTAAAACTGTTATATAACAGTATAAACATGTAACTAAATTGATAATTGTACAAATAATATTTTGCAAAAAACCATGGGAATCATGTCGATTCCTTGATAGTTAATTTCGTTGACGATAAACTTGATTAATATTAATAAATAAAATATTTGTTGTCGTAGAATGGTTATTATTGTGTATTATCAGTTATAATGAGCTCAGTGCACATGAAAGTGCTCAATGAATTAAAATGAAGTTGAAAGAGCCTTAGTAAACATTAAATGATACAGAAATTATATATAGATCAAAAATCAATGATATAATCATATCATTTACAAGGATTATTGTTACAGCATTAAGTTCATTACCTCACGACGCAAATGCATCACTCTCCACGGTTCTTTCAGTATGTTTGGAAATGAGTCTTGCTGTGCTCGCCATGAATGACCTTGATGAGCGGAGTAAAGTTCTAATTCTCCAAAAGAAATGCAATAAATAAACGTAAATATAAAATACACTCATTTAGGCAAAGCAATAAATACAAGTAAATACAAAATGAAAGTTCACTTACATTGTAAGAAGCGGCGCACAAAGAGTGTCTGATTATACATATGAAGCGCGCTGTGCCGATTGACCGGACTGACTTTTTTTATTTTAATTTGTGCCCCCAAGGGAAAAGAAAACAAAGRAACTCGCCCGGTCGACTCGTTCAAAGTCTAGTGGTATAGGGATGAGTTGTTAGAGTGGTCACAAGACCTTAACGACCATTTATGGAGCTGACAGTGTCATGATTGCATACGATATTGCTGGTTTTTGTGACGAAAGGCCTTATGGGACCTCTCGTCTCTATGTCATCGTGTTGAGCATGTTGAGTGACCGAATCGTAACCATCCATTTGTAGCAGGCGTTCCTTGCTAGTCCTTGATATTTTTAAGTTGAAAAGAAAAAATCTCTAGAAAAAAACAAACAAACGAAATAACAACAGCAAAGAAAAGAAGAAAGGAAAAAAAGAAAGAAGAAAAGAAAACAAGAAACAAACGAAAAAGAAACAATAAACAAGCGAAAAAAAAAGAAATTCCAGAAGCAGGACTCGAACTCAGAACTTTCACTTCAGGAGAAGGTGTACCCCCCCGGAATACATAAGAAATAATGAWAATAAAAAACTAAAAAGATGGGACGATTCCCCCGAGACATTCTATGAAGCTGAGGCGGCGAATCGGCTTACGTTACGGTTAGAGATTTCGGCCCTTCCACGCTATCCCGAGTGAACATAAAACTTAGTCTTAACCAAAAGGCCAGGGAGTGAGGGGGTAGCCGCCCACTAGAGCATACCTTTAGCTACCCTCTTAGACCATCGTACTATGAAGACACTTATAGATATCTAATATCTAATTGGGGTAGTCTATTCGGTGAAGTTCTATGCTAATATATGACGTCACCAAAATCCTTAGGGAGCAACGAGCCAATCAGAGTTCAGTTCGGGAATTAGCTAACGATGCAGGCTTTGCATAATCATTCTTCAGTGGAAGTATTATTTGATGGGGGTGGGGTGGGTGCCGAGTGCTGGTTTGCTGCCGAATACCGATGTACTCGATGTACTGTGACGTCTTTCACTGAGGTGTTCAATTGTCGCTATCGTTTTCCAAATCATCACAGGAAAATTAGTTGTACAGTTCTTATGTTATACAGACATTATTAGTATTCGGATAAACACAACGACACAATTCTCTTGAAATTCTTAACGTAAGTGGTTTACGAACCAGCAGATATTTGCCGGGATTCAATTAAAGACATTGCACATTACACATTATTGAATATAAATATAGTGAATGTTGATAATTGAAGAGGATGAAAAACTATAATCAGGCGAATAACAGTAATTTTAAAACATGGATGTAAAAATACAGTGTAGATAAAGAAAACATTTTATCAAAGAAAACGTTCGAGAATTAATCATGAGTTTATAAGTCAACAGATACAGAAAGACCTCTTTGATTACAGCTAACTTAAAACTCTAAGAACTCCATGTCATGGGATGAAAATTCCTTTTACGAATCTTTTAGATTGATATGTTTACTAAGCAGGGAAACAGGGCGTCCCGCGTCAGGCCCCACGGGAGGAATGATCAACCATCACAATAGGTTCCTTGGCCCCTGGGAATCACCGCAACATAATAGCTGATCGCCACGTGATGCTGTATACTGAAGATAGTCATATTCGAAGTTTACTAAATCTCAATGGCCTGACTGCCTATTTTTAATCATGAGATTCAACCAACATAAGAACGTCGGCGATGTTGGAGGAATGAACAATAGATACTAATGAGAAACCCTTTGCTGAAGTACCTCCAAGATGGCCGCTGTGACGACGGTAACCTGAAAACCAGCAATAATCACTGAATCGTAAAATGCGCAGGAAAAAAAAGAAATATTTTTCTTTTCTTTTTCAAGCAAAACATGATTTTATTAGCTGAAATGTCAACACGTTACATTCAATATTATATTCTAACAAAACTCGTGGAATATCACTCCAGAGCGATTCTCATAATATAACCCAAAAGAGGGCCATTACATTTGTATATTTCTATTTTATTGTAATTCTCAACGACTCTTACGAGCTGAAGGCTTAGTGTACCTCTTAAGAGGCGTTTGGTAGCCAGCGATCTCTCTTTCTGCCCGTATACGGTCTCTCTCTCTGCCCGTATACGGTCTCTCTTTCTGCCCGTATACGGTCTTTCTGCCCGTATACGGTCTCTCTCTCTGCCCGTATACCGCACATCGTAAGGAACACAGGGTTATCTTATCAGTCTCATCAAATATATACACGTAATTCCAAAACATTCATATAGAAATGAAAAATAAACATCACAAATCATAGGTTTTGATAAAGACTACGGTGATCTTTCATAGGATTTAAAAGGGAAACGAGAAGAATCAAGCAAACGCTGCTTGGAATGCCCAGTGAACTAATGTTTTTTCAATCGATTCCTATATGTAAGTTTTTGCTGTTTATTCTTCACTTCTATAAACTGTATTGACAAATACGAGTAAGTTAAGACTAACCGCACAAAATATTAACAGCGATATCTAAAAAAAAAMCCATAGTGGGTCCACCAACACTCTTATGACAATGCGGGAACAGTACACCCGTGAAACAAAAACTAATGGTGAAATAACAGTCAAATACTACTAAAAAGGTTAACAAATCAAATATCTGTTTCACGGAWTTACAGTCCTTACCCTTTAACTAAAAGTATTGTACTTTAGAAAAGAAAGTATTCGTCTRCGCACTGATTGTTTAAGGCACGCTCTGTATCCGAGTACATCCCGTGCTTTGCTATACTACAGCGTTAATTCTTTTGTCTATTTTATAAAAGAAATAGAAARCTCTGTTATAACTAAAGGTTATAGAGCACARGGGGTTTGAAAAGAACACAATAAAGGTAGGTAAAGATTGAGAGACACACGATGCGAGGAACAGGCGCGAGTTTTCTATTTAGGTTTCTATTAATTCGACTATTGTATAAAAACTGCTAATGTATGAGATTAATACGTAAGAAAATTCCTATTTCATAAGCTTATAAACTCTAAATTTTTATATGGATCTATGATCCTTGTTTAGTTGTAGAAAGAACCCATTTTTGATAATAACGATGATACATATAAGAGGTCCACCCTCTAGAATATTCATTTACAGCCCCCCAACAGTTTGTAATAACGATACTATGAAAATTAATACTAGATCTGCTTATAATCTGTGATCGAAATAATATTTTTTCACATTGGGTCCCAAAACCAACCTTTTGGCACCCCYTGGTGGTSTTATTTAAATTTTTGAATCCTTAAAACACTTCAATATAAATATATAAATCTATTATTCTATTGGCGGAACTGCAATAACGTTGATAACCCACACTTGCAGTAGGGCGGGTTCTCCACCAYTGGTTAACAAACACGGGTTGACCACCACGTGCCGACCACCAGGTGTTGTATTCGAGAACAAAACATCGAGARCAAGCTGTGTTTTTACATGGCCTTCCGACCAATCGAGCCATTCACTGAACCATTTGGTATTCGCTTTTTGGCTTCGAATAGTGTAGTTTCATCGCTGTCCTCGTCGGAATCGGTTAACGTTAAACTCGAATATTTGTCTGGAAAAGAAAAAGAAGAAAGTGGTTTGCCAGTCATTAACTTATTCATTTTTTCAAGTATTAAATATTGATCTTTTTTATTTGTTTATTCTCTTATCCAATTTATCCAATATTCATTTACATTTGGATAACATTTACCTTCGTTTCGGTAATATTTACGTTTCGGTAACATTTACTCAAGTTTCGCTTGCATTGACTTACGTTTCGGTAACATTTACCTACGTTTCATTAACATTTACTTACGTTTCAGTAACAATTACTTACGTTTCGGKAACAATTACTTACGTTTCGGTAACAATTACCTACGTTTAAGTAACATTTACTTACGTTTCGGTAACATTTCCATACTTTCAGCTTTATCATCATCATCTTCATCAATAATTTCATAACGGTGACGTCTTCTTGATCGCCCTCGTCTTCGTCTTAAATACAAACATAGTAT